GGTTTATTCCTGGAATGCAAGGATGATTCAAACATTTTTAAAAAACTAACAAATGTAATATGACACATTAAAAGAATGAAGGAAAAAAACCCGTATGATCATCTCAATCAATGCAGAAAAAGTACATCATAAAATTCAACATCCTTTATAAAAATAATTCTTAGTAAACAAGGAGTAGAAGGCAACTTCCTCAACATGACACAAGCCATTTTTATATCTCTATTTATAGCTATAAATTTCTCTCTTAGGGCTGCTTTTGATGCATCCCACAAGTTTTGGTTTGGGGTGTTGTGTTTTCATTTAACTCAAAAGTGTTTGGTGATTTCTTCTTTGACCTATTGGTTGTTAAGAGTGTGTTGTTTAATTTCACTGTATGTGTGAATTTTCCAGTTTTCCTTATATTGATTTCTAGTTTCATTCCATTATTATGGGAAAGACAGTCTGTATACTTTCAATCTTTTAGAATTTATTAAGGCTTGTTTTGTTGCCTAGTTTATACTGGAGAATGCTCCATGTTCACTTGAGAAAAATGTGTATTCTGTTGTTGTCATCTATTCTCAATTTATTCTATATTTTTATAATCATGTTACATGTTGAACCTTGTCAATTATTTTTTTCACATCCATTGAGATGATTATATACATTCGCCCTTTGGGCTATTAATAGGATATAATATATTCATAGTTTTCCTAATATTGATTTACCCTTGCAGTCCAGGGAGGAACCAATTGGTAATGGCATATTTTCTTAAGTACTGCTGAACTACAATTGCTATTGTTTTATTAGGATTTTTACACAAATGTTCAGAAGTGGGTTGGCCCTGTCTCTTACCAGATTTTGTTGATGTTAGTTTACACTTTCTTCATAAATATATTCTGAAGAATTTCCTCTTTTGGTGTTTTACAACACTTTAAATTCTATCCATCTTATCTGTTCCTTAAATATTTTAAAGAATTAACAGTGAAACTAGGTGGTTCTGCAGTTTTAAGGAAGAAGCTTTTTTACAACTTTTTCAATTGCTTCCGTTATTTGTCTGCTTTTTTATTTGTCTGCTGCTACTCAGCATTTTTCACTTATATTTTCAAATGTATTTTTTTTCAGGATCTTTTAAAATTTCCTCAAATATCAATAGTTATTTCCCTTTCATTTCTAATTTTGTGTATTTGTCATTTTTTCCTTTTTTAATTTTATTACTATGCTTGCCAGTGGATTTTCTAGCTTTTGTTTGTCTGGCACTCTGTCTTTAAAAAAATCACCACTGTTTTTGCAATTGTGCTGTATTTCCTTTTTCTAAATGTATGGATAGATTTTGTGATTTTCTTCTTTTATCTATTCTGTAGCTTTTTGTAATGGATGAACTTCCTTTCATTTATATGTATTAGTATAATAGATATGTTTTGTATTTGTTATCCATTATATTAAGTTTTCAATTACTATCAAGTGTCCTGTGTATGCATGATCTTTTCTGTATTTGGTTTTATAGGTGTACGTGTGAATGAATTTGTGTATATGTGTATGTGTGTCTGGATGTATGTTTCTTTGGAAAATTTTGAAGGTTTATTATCTGTTTTTTAGATTTTGTTCTGTTTTTTCCAACCCTTTAACTCTCTTCATTTAGCAACATCAGACTACACCTGGAATATCAAATAAACTACCACAAATAAACCTCTGCCTACTTCCCTCTGTCTCCCCTACTCTATGACTGATTTCTATCATTATATGATCGTTTTTTTGTGCATTGTCTAGGTTCTGGAACTGCTTAGTTTTAAATCTATATGTAAATTAATTGATTCCTGTCACCCGTCTTTTTACTGTGGCTTCTCCCTTTGTCTTGTCTGCTTTTTCTTGTTTTCTCAAAAAGATCACATGAATCCTGGGTTTATCTATGACTGAGATTGTCTATTTGTCTGGTTCTTGCCTTTATATTTGAATGGCCACTTGACTGAGAAAAATATTCTCGAATCTCACCTTCTTTTTCTCAGCACTTTGCAGATATTGAATAATTCTTAGAGAAGTTGGGGGCTAGCTTGTTTTTTTTCTGGTAAATAATTAGTGTTTGCCTGGATATGTAAAGAATTTTGTCTTAGCAAAATACAAAAACCATTGGGATATATCTCAGTTTAGCTGTCATGTCAACTTTTTTCTAAGAACAAGGTATTCCAAATTAATCCGTTCTTCTAATCAGGAAAATTCTCGTTTTTTTTTTTTTTTTACAGAATTACAAGTACAGTTTTTGATCCATTTGTTAGTTTCTTTAGTTCCAGGACCTGAATTCCCTTTAATTAGTCCTTCAAGTATCTTCTCTTCTCTTTAAGTTGCTTTAATATTTATTTTTTTTAAAAATCCACAGACTGTGATTGTCAAGCCTTTCTCCTATACCAGTAATTGGTATTATTTTGTGTGTGCCCTGTTTGTGATTTTTTTAATGGCTTTGTATTAGAGTTGTTTTGGCTCCCAATTTATTCCTAAACTATGTGCCATGGTTTGCATTCCCTGAAAGCAAGGCCAAATACAAGAGTGCCAAAAATTTATTTGAGAGGCCGTTCCAGGAAAGACTAATAGAGGAATGGGGAAGTAAGACACAAAGGGGAAGGAATTTAATAATATTATCAAGCAAGTAATCACTGTGGGCAGTAGCTAAAATATACAGAGAACTCTGTAACATTGTAGAACATATGTGAGTTGTTCCAACCAACAGGCAAAGAAGCTGGAGTAATTTATCCACAGCTTCTTGTCTGTCATTGGTTGTAGGCTGTTTCTTGGGAGCATTAACACGGACACTTCTCATTTGCCCTGAGTGTGGGTGGGGCATCTTGCTTTGGTCAGAAAAATGACTTCAGGCAGAGTGTCACAGATATTCCCAGAGATCCCAAGCCTTATGGAGGAGAGACTGCAGAGGGTGAGGCTGACGGATATGGACAGGACATTAAGAGTCTCTTTTTTCTTTGGGTTGTTGTTTCACCTCATTTTTTATCTTTCCCTTTTTTTTTCTTTTTAATTTCATAGTCTCATTAAGTTTTTCTGCAGTCCCTCTGTTAATTATGGTAACCACTGGCCACAAGTGATAATTGAGCAATTGAAATGTGACAAGTCTTAACTGTAATGTGCTAGAAATATAAAATAATGCCAGTTTCAAAGTCTTAGTAGAAACAAATGCAAAGTATCTTCTTAATAACTTTTACATTATTATGTGTTGAAATAATACTTTGTACATATTGGGTTAAAAAAAGATCAAAATTAATTTCATATTTTAAAAAATTTTAAGTTAGGCTACTAAAATTTTTTTTAATTACATATATTCTTTAAGAATAGATTTTTCACCTCCATCTTGCCTGCTAAGTTTTTTTTCTTTTTACTTGGAAGACTGAAGGATTTAGTAAGTTTACACAAATACCATACTATTTTATTTTCTTTTTCACCTTACTGATGCTTAAGTTGTGCATAACTGTCCAGTTATTTGACTACTGCTTTGATAATGTGGGTACATTCTTTTAACACTCAGTCAACCTGCTGATTCTATATTAACTTAATATTTCATTCATTTACACTTATGAAAAAGGAGATTTTTACTTCCAGCCAAGATGGATTAGCAGGGACCAGATTTACCCACATGTGGAGGTTCTTACTGACACCAACTGGGTCCTACTATTCAATTTAATTCTGATGCTACTTAGAGTTAGTGCAGACCCCACAGGACTAAGGGCTCAGTCCCACAAGACTGCCCCCACTTCAGAGGTCATTCACAAGTCTTGAGCCACTGGTACTTCTAACTGACCAGCTATAAATCAGGGGATCCCATGACCCCTCCTCTGGCTTGATAATTTGCTAGAATGGCTCACAGAACTCAGGACAACACCTTACTTATTTTACTGATTTATTACAGAGGCTTGTGGATAAAGTTGTAATATTTCAACAATATCTCACCTGGCTTTAGTGCATCTGCATATCAACAGGCGTTCCTCAGGGGGTGGAGAAAGTAGTTCATCTCCATATCAGTGGGTGATTACCTGGGCAACCGAGGGCTTATCTGAACCTAAGAGGTTAGGGGGAGGTCTTGCTTGCTCCTGCTGGAGCAGGAAAGAGATGGCCCCAGACTGCATTTTGTAAGCAATAAATGAATTTTTAACTTTATTTTTCCCTTTGACTAATTTCAGTTTTAGAGATATTTTTCCCTGGGATTTCCTCTCCCCAGAGTTAAAAGGCTACAACTCAGGAACAGCCAAATGAGAGTGATGCACGGAAGGTGTGTATGTGGGGGGTACAGGGGCATAGCACTTCCATGCCATCTTCTAGCACATCACCCTCCTAGCAAGTCAATGTGTTTACCAAACTGGAAGCTATCAGAACTGCTTGTAGGAGAATTTTTTTTAATGTTGTGCAAGATTTTATTTAAGAGCCTGTTATAGACCAAAATGTAAGGACAGAAAGCTGACTGTCCCATAGCTAAAGTTTAGAGAGGCCTAACTGCCGCACATCCCCCTGCAGTTGGGGCCCAGAGAGCCGAACACCAATTGACATTAAGCATGGTCAGGGAGGTAAAGAGCCAGGTGAGTGATACCTGGCTCCATCTCCACCCACCCAAGTTTCAGAGGCAGATTCCATTCCAGCCTAGTCCCAGGAGAAGGAGTTGAGGGACAATGGGGAGGCTGGGGATAGGCTACAGGATGACCCTCCTTGTGAGTTTTGAAGTTAATTTACTAAAAAGATTAGTGGAGCCTTGGCTTCGAGTCTGTGACCATGACGTGGCTTCATGGGACAGGCTAGGTGAGGCTGGCAGGCTATTGTACGTGGCAGTTCACCCTCCCAGGGCTGACCAGGGAATGTGCTGTGACTGGCAGTGCCTCAGGGGTAGCAAATTCAGTCTGGGGTGGCTGCACTGCTGACACTGTGCGTTGAAGCAACTGTAGTGCTCTCTGATTAGGAACAGTGCTGTTTTCTTTGCCGTTCTGAATTACTGAATGTCTATCCACTGTAGTTCTTTCACTGCAAACATAGGTATTTCACCCTGTCATTCCTCCAGATGCTGTATTACTACTCAGGACAGTGGAGCTTTTCTTGCGCTCCCAAATATCCACCTTATTGGGATTGCTTGTATCCCCAACCATAGGACTGGCTGGAATGATTCCCTTTTCTCCACCAGCAGTGCCACCTGGTTTCTGGGAGGGAATTCCATCTTCATTAAGATCACTATCTGCAGTGCTGGTCTGACTCCTTTTTGGATATGCCACAACTGAAGGAATAGCTGGTCCAGCATGGTCACTATACGGCCTCTCCTTCTGGCTTGAAGAAATACTCCTTTGCACTTTGTGGTGAGGAGACTGGCCAGTACTGTGGTTGAGATCACTGCTTGGCCTCACCTTAGTGAGTGAAAGACTGCTGCTAGAGCTGGAGTCACTAGCATCCAGCTCTGAAGATTTTTCTCCCCAACAACAAATATGTAGCTGTGATTTCATCATATTTCATTTTGCTAAGAGATTCTTGAATTTCTTCTTGTGAGTATCCCATTCCCACCATAATATCTATTCTTTTCTGGTCTGAGATGTCCAGTTCTGGTTCAACAAATGTTTTGAGTTCATCTTCCTCATGCCCTGTGCTGACCCACCTGTCCTTCATGATTTGCTCTAGAATGCCTCGTTTCATTGGATTTAGCACCAGGAAACGTTTCAGAAGGTTTTCATAATCTGTGGAAATGTAGAAAGGGATTTTGTGTTTCCCTCTTCATACCCTCTCTCTCAGTTCCTTTAGGTCCTGTCCATCCAAGGGGAGAGACCCACTGACCAAGGTGTAAAGAGTGACACTGAGGCCCCACATGTCCACTTCTTGCCTGTCATATTTCTTGGCCTGGAAGAGCTCTGGGGCTGCAGATGGAGGACTGACACAAAACATATCCAGTTTACTGCCAACAGTAAATTCATTGCTAAAACCAAAGTCCACTATTTTAATGTTCATATCAGCATCTAACAATAGATTTGCAGCCTTGAAGTCTCTGTGAACGATTCGCTTTTGATGGCAGTATTGGACTGCAGACACTATCGGTCTAAATTTAGCTCTTGTTTTTTTTCCCTTCATTTTTCCATGTGCAACCAAATAGTCAAACACTTCACCTCCACTTGCATACTCCATGATTAGGTAGGGTGTTTTGTCAGTTTCAATGACTTCAAATAACTTCACTAGGATTGGATGATTTAAAATCTGCATTATTCTTACAGTCTCTGAAGAGCTTTTGTAGACTTGTTGGATTCAACTGAGTTTTGTCATTACTTTTATTGCAACCTCTCTGCCTGTAAGGATGTATCTTGCCAATTTCATTCTTGCAAAATTCTCCTTGCTGATTGTTTTCAACAGTCTATAGTTTCCAATGTGAGGTGGTTCATCTGCACAGGAAGCTACAGAGTTTCTATATGGAGCTCCAGAGCACCCAGTGAGAGAGGTAGCTTCTTGTTGCCCATCTCCGTGTGACGTGTGGTTCAGTGTCTCCTTCATTCACCGTTGGCAATGGGGTCTGAGTGGACATTTTACTTCACTTCACTTCTGTACGTGAGGGTGAAACAAAACAGCGTGGCCCCAGGGGGTCAGCGAGGGCGACCTCGAGTGCCCAGAGGGCGGCTCCCCTGCCCCACGGCCGCCTAGATCCCGGGCCGGCCCGGGCTGGCCCGGGGCGGGTTCCAGGGCTCATGCCCCCCAGGCCCCGGCGGCTGCACCCAGGAGCCCCGCGGGCCCTGACCCCCTAGTCCCCTCCACCGCCCTCGCCCGTCACGTCGCGGATTTCAGCGCCGGGACCTCCACAGGGCGCTGCCGGCGGCCCCCGGAGAGAGGACGAGGATGTACAGAAGGTGCAGTGCGAGCCAGGCCGCTGCGGGCCGCGGGCGCCGACCGTGGAGGGAGCTGCGGAGGTGGCGCCTGCGCCCGGCTGCTCCTATCCCTCCGGCTTGTTTTCTGCCTCGGCCTCCACCCGGTGGCCGCTGCCGCCGCTCCCGGTACCTCAGAGCCTCGCCGTAGAAGAATTTTAATAGAGCTCAATGTCCAGTGCCCTATTCCCCTCTCTGATGTCAGTGAGGGCGGGGCTGAATGTTCCAGCCCTTGGTTACTTGATCTTTCTGGTGATCAACCCCCACCTGAGGCTGTCTAGGGCCCCACCTTATGTCATCTCATTAGCATAAACTCAGAGGTGATGAAAAGGTCCATTATGAATAACAAAAGACACACCTATCTTTTAGGAAATGCCAAAGATTTTAGGAGCTCTGTGCCAAGAGCCTGGGACAAAGACCAAAAATATTTATTATACCATACCTCCTAACTGAAACAACCCCAAAAGTGGGCAAAACATATGAAATAACAGTTTTCAAGACATTGGGTGTCAAGAAAAAAAAAAAAGGACAGTCATTCCTGAAAGGTAGGAACCATATGAAGTGAGTCTTATGATTATTCCGTTATAGCCTACATAAAATTTCCAGACCTCAGTGCACAGTGGGAGAACTCAGATGGAGCTCAACAGTCTCTGAAGTTAAGTAGACAAAGCTAGGAATTTGGGGAATCCAAAGCAGCTAGGTCCTCAGGGCAGACTAACAGAGAGGGGAGAGCCTCAGAGAAAATTCTGGACAGGAATAGTTCAGGTTTCCACAATCCAGAGTGGAAAACCTCATAATTCAGGGGGTATTGTGTAGAGTACTTGAAAAGGTTTTGCCGCAGTAATGGGCCTAACTTAGCCTTAGACTAAACACTGCTCTGTTTCTGTCTAGCAAACTTTAAAAATAAGACCTGAAAGGATCAGACGATTTCCAAGTAACTTAATCTTGTTCCAGAATAAAGATCAAGAATATTTTTAGGGATACAAAAATATCCAACCCACAAGATAAAATTCATGATGTTTGGCATCCAACAAAAAATTAATAGGAATGCAAAGAAATAGGAAAATATGACACATAATGTAGAGAAAAATCAATCAATTGAAAAAGACCCATGCATGACACAAAGGATAGAATCAATAGACAAGAAACTGTTAATGTAACTGTACTCTGTATGTTCAAAAATTAGAGGATAATTGAATATGTTAAGTTGAGATATGGAAGATATTTTAAAAGGCCCAAATTGGACTTCTAAAGATGAAAACTATAATGTCTTAGATGAAAAGTTCACTGGATGGTATTAATGGAAGTTTAGACATTGCTGAAGATTAGTGAACTTGAAAGTTTAACAAATGAAATTATCCAAAAAAAACAGAGAAAAAACTTAAAAAATTGAACAGAACATCAGTGAGATATGGTAAAACTTAAAGTGACCTAATATATGTGTAATTGGAGTCTGCAAGAGTAAGGAATATAGGTAAGAGGAAATGGCCTCAAACTTGCCAACTCTGATCAAATAAACCACAAAGCAAAGAAATTCAATGAACCCCAACTATAAGAAAAATGAAGAGAATTACACCAAGGCTTATCATAATCAAATATCCCAAGACCATTGGCAACAAAATAGACAAACTAATAAAAATGGAATGATTTAAACAGATACTTCACCAAAGAGGATACATGATGACAAAGAAACACAGGATCAGATACTCAACATCACTAATCAATAGGGAAATGCAAAATAAAACTCCCAGGAGAGAACATGATGTGCCTTAGAACTGCTATAATCAAAGACTAACCATTCCAGGTGTTGCCACAGAGGTGAAGGAGATGAAACTCATACTACTGGTAGGAAAGTGAAATGTTACAATCACTTTTGAAAACAGTATGAAATTTTCTTTAAAAATTAAGCATGTCTACCATATGATTCCACAATTCTTCTCCTAGGTGTTTACCCAAGATAAATTAAATATGTTCATACAAAGACTTGTATATGAAGGTTCAAGCAGATTTGTCATAACCCAAACTGGAAATGACTCACACATCCATTAACAGATGAATGGATAAGTCAGTGGTAGTCTCTCCATACAACAGAGTACTTCCTAGCGTATAAAAGAATGAACTATTGACACATCCAACAACACTGATGAATATTGAAATAATTATGCTGAGTGCAAGAAGCTAGACAAAGAAGAGTACATACTATATGACTCTTATTTACATAAGATTCTAGGAAATGCAAAACTAATGCATAATGACAAAAAGCAGACCAGAGGTTTCCTGGGAATTGGAGGGCTTGGAGGGGAGAACAAATTAGAAAGATTAGGAAGAAATTTTTGGAGGTGATAGATAAATTTGTTATCATGATTGTGGTGATTGTTCCTTGGGAATGTAATTGTACACTTTAAATATGTGTATTTTACTGCATGTCATTTATACCTCAATAAAGCTGTTAAAAGATATATTAAAGGGGGCGGAGCCAGGATGGCGGCGTGAGTAGAGCCGTGGAAATCTCCTCCCAAAAACACATAGAGCTATGAAAATATAACAAAGAAAAATCTTCCTAAAATAGAGACCAGAGGACACAGGACAACATCCAGACCACATCCACACCTGCAAGAACCCAGTGCCTTGTGAAGGGGGTAAGATACAAGCCCCGGTCCGGCGGGACCCGAGCGCCCCTCCCCCCGGCTCCCGGCGGGTGGAAAGAAACCGGAGCGGTTTTTTTTTGGCGAGTGCTTTTTGGAAGCCTTAAAGGGACGGGCCCCCGTTGCTAGGGAGGCAGGGTGGCGGGACCAGTGAGCAGGTGCCTGGGACCGGCGCCTGAGGACAAAGAATATCCCACGTTTTTCCCTGCGGGACCGGTGGGCGGGTGCCTGAGACCGGCACTTGAGGACAGAGGAAATCGCGCGTTTTTCCCCTTTTTTTTTTCTCTTTTCTGCGAGTGCTTTTTGGAAGCCTAAAAGGGACAGGGACCCCGGTGCTAGGGAGGCAGGGCGGCGGGACTGGTGAGCGGGTGCCTGGGACCGGCACCTGAGGACAAAGAATATCCCGCATTTTTCCCTGTGGGACCGGTGGGTGGGTGCCTGAGACCAGCACCTGAGGACGGAAGAAATCGCGCGTTTTTCCCCTTTTTTTTCTCTCTTTTTGCCAAGTGCTTTTTGGAAGCCTTGAAGGGACAGGGACCCCGGTGCTAGGGAGGCAGGGCGGCGGGACTGGTGAGCGGGTGCGTGGGACCAGTGCCTGAGGACCAAGAATATTGAGCGTTCCTTCCCTGCGGGACCGGTGGGTGGGTGCTTTTTGGAAGCCTTGAAAGGACAGGGACCCTGGTGCTAGGGAGACAGGGCAGCAGGACCAGTGCGCGGGTGCCTGGGACCGGCACCTGGGGAAAAAAAAAAAAAAATCGCGTGTTTTTTCTTTTTTTTTTCCTTTCTGTTCCCTCTCTCATTGTTGCTGTTGTTGTTTTGGTTTGGAGAGTGCTTTTTGGAAATCTTAAAGGGGCAGGACAGGTCACTTAGACCAGAAGCAGGGAATCTGGGGATCTCTGGGCACTCTAACCCCCTGGGCAGCAGGGAGCACAGAGGCCCCTTACGGAGATAAATAGTCTCCTGGCTGCTCCCCCTCCAACGGGGCTCCACCATTTTGGAGGAACAGCCCCAGCCAGGCCAAGCCCACAGCAACAGCGGAGATAAACCCCAAAGCAACTGGGCAGGAAGCAGAAGCCCTGTCTGCGCACAGCTGCCCAGCACAAGCCACTAGAGGTCGCTATTCTCCCAGGAAAAGGCTACAAACCAACAAGAAGGGAAGCTCTTCCAGCGGTCACTTGTACCAGCTCTGCAAACTATCTCTATCACCATGAAAAGGCAAAACTACAGGCAGACAAAGATCACAGAGACAACACCTGAGAAGGAGACAGACCTAACTAGTCCTCCTGAAAAAGAATTCAAAATAAAAATCATGAACATGCTGACAGAGATGCAGAAAAAAATGCAAGAGCAATGGGATGAGATGCAGAGAAAAATGCAAGAGCAGTGGGATGAGATGCAGAGAAAAATGCAAGAGCAGTGGGATGAAGTCCGGAAGGAGATCACAGATGTCAGGAAAGAGATCACAGAAGTGAAACAATCCCTGGAAGGATTTATAAGCAGAATGGATAAGATGCAAGAGGCCATTGAAGGAATAGAAGCCAGAGAACAGGAACGTATAGAAGCTGACATAGAGAGAGATAAAAGGATCTCCAGGAATGAAACAACACTAAGAGAAATATGTGACCAATACAAAAGGAAAAACATTCGTATTATAGGGATACCAGAAGAGGAAGAAAGAGGAAAAGGGATAGAAAGTGTCTTTGAAGAAATAATTGCTGAAAACTTCCCCAAACTGGGGGAGGAAATAATCGAACAGACCATGGAATTATACAGAACCCCCAACAGAAAGGATCCAAGGAGGACAACACCAAGACACATAATAATTAAAATGGCAAGGATCAAGGACAAGGAAAGAGTTTTAAAGGCAGCTAGAGAGAAAAAGGTCACCTATAAAGGAAAACCAATCAGGCTAACATCAGACTTCTCAACAGAAACCCTACAGGCCAGAAGAGAATGGCATGATATACTTAATGCAATGAAACAGAAGGGC